AGGGTTACCGGCTGCTGGATGGAAAACAGACCCCAGGCCAAAGGGCAGAAATGCATGAGCCTCGAAGAGGCCACTGCATGCCCTGAAAAATGAGAATGGCAAGGACAATTCTTCTCCCCTGGGCTCACGCCGACAATTAAATGAACTATGGTCTCTCATCGGCTCTGAGATACATATTTTTCACATCTTACCTGTGAAACTGAAATGTGTCTAAATCCAAGAATGATTTACAACAGCTTTTAACCATCGAGACAGTCCACACTGCACATGCTATACACATGGCCTACTGCTCATGTCATGGCTTCAGGTATATAACATGTGCTGCACATGCTGTAAACATGCTCATGTCATGGCTTCAGTTAGGTAACATGAGTTTTTGGTATGTGCATGCAGTTTGATGAGCAAAATGTCTTCAAAATACTCCGCTTGAGGGGGTAGGAACGCAGCTCAGTAGCAGAACGCTTCTTCATTCCCCAGCACCACCAAAAACCTTTTATTTAGATTATCGTACACAGTCTTGGGTTTTAGTGTGGTATTTTCAAACAAAGTTTGGGTTTATTTTAATGATTAACCTGAAGAAAAGTCATCAAAACTATTTCAAATCAATGTTTACTTTGTAATGGATGGTTTTTGTGCCTCACCATAATCAAAGACAGAACTGTGGGGCATAAACACGACAGAAGCACATTTATACCTCTGAGGGAGGACCACGATGCTGTGTCTTCCTGCAAAGTAACAAGCTGCATAGAGCAGCATGCAGCAGACAGAGCTGAGTCACCACAGGCCACTGGCCCATAAACAAAAGCGTGGACCACCACAACCCGAATGCTTCAGCTGAAAGCGGAACTCCCAAAGCCCACAGATAAAAATGTCAACACGTCCAGGTGATGAGGCCAATAAACAAACACCTTTCCAGAGGCCCAGAGAGTGTCAGGAACTAAACTAGCAGATTACACGTGGCAGCTTTGGAGAACTTTCTGGAGATGGGGTTGGTTATCATCAGCGCACCTGAAGGTATGGGCAATGACCTGGGTGAACAGCAGCCTGGGATGCTATCTGCTTGGTCAGACTCAAGCAGAGGAGCTGGGTTCAAACAGGAACACATTTTAGGAAAATCACCAAATCTGTGCTCTATTTTCTTTTTACATTTGCCTGAAAAAGTCCAATGAAACAAATATGATGTATTAAAAAAAAAAAAAAAAAAAAGAATGGAGGCAAGGCAAGACAGTGCTGTAGACAAAAAAAAGGGTACTGTGAGCTGTGGAGTAATAGGTGAATTCTGGATCACATGGGGAAGAACATGACAACTTGCTAATGGATCTTTTCTGAGTGAGAGAACAAGACTATCCAAACTGACCTGGTTTCTCACCAGAGCAGCTGAAAATGGGCAGCCACTCACTAATGCTGGGTACAGCAGAGGTCGGCAGCCTAAGGGCTATAGCAACTCCACACTACTTCCTGCTTTTACATATCTGGGTGTTAAGAACAGAGGTTTTGTTGTTATTGTTGATGTTTTGTGTTGCTTTTTAATGTTTTCAATTAGGTTTGTAAAAACAAAAACAAAAGATGAAAATGGCACAAACTGTATGTGATACTAAAAACCAAAAATATTTACTATCTTGTTACACTGTCTGGCTACCCCTGGCTCATAGAAAACAGTGTATGTGGAGGAAGAGCCGGAACTGGTGTTGAACAGTGGAATGTGGGGGACATCTAAGGGTCATCTAGACATCTACAAGCAGACATGCAGTGGGCAAGTAAGCAGGCCTGGGGCTTGGAAAGCATAGAAGGACCTTCCTGCATGGAAAGCCTTCACATAAGGAGCATTCAGAGCTTGCAAGAAGAAGCATGTAAACATGAAGCACAGTGGCCTTACCGAAGCATGAGAAGCACTGCACAGCAGAGTATAGGGAGCCCCAGTTTAATAATACAGGAACAGAGAAGTCACCTGCTCTAGTCACCCTGCAAGGAATGGGCAAACAATATTCAAAGCTAGGCTCTTAGCTCTACCTACTTGGTGTGGTTTCTCAAGCAAAGAACTTAATTCTCCCTCATCAGATAATATGCTGTAGACTAAATAAATGGCCACTGCAGACTTTCAAGCAGTGTTGACGGCTAGATATAACAAAGTCCCTATATGGTTAAAAACTGACAGTTTTATCTGGACACTCAGAATGCCAGTAAGGACCACAGGTACTGGCCAGGTCAGAACTCACTACACTCTGGTCAAATGGCTCATGGGATGAGCCAGGGACGGAAGCAAGGATGGTTTCATGACTAACATACCATGATCAAGAAATAATAATCCAATGAAGTACCCCAGAAATCTCTTACAAAACCAAAATAGAATGGAATAGTATGTGGTAAAATTAGATGAATTAAAACAGTATCTTTTAAAGCCATGACCTAAAACAAAACCCATCAAAGACAAACCAAAATCTCAGAATGAAACACAGCATCTTGGGGAATTCTGGCACAGCAAAATTAGATGGAAAAGATTGATTTCTCTATAAATACGCTGAGTCAGTAGACAGCTGTGTGAAAATGAAGATTCCTAACATACCACATATACCAAAACAAATTTTAAGAAACTGAAATTTCATAAATGTTATGAAATCATAAATAAAACTTAAGGCAAAAGAATTTGTTCTGAAATGAGAGGTTTCTTTTATCATAGAGAATTCACAGAGGGTAAACGCATAAAGGAAAATATTGATAAATTTAAATGAGCAAAGCTCTTTAACTGCTCTCTATAAAAAGAGATCGTAAGGTATAAAAGCAAATGATAACCTAGGGGGATATTTATAGAGCCCCTCAAAGCACTGAGGTCCACAGAGCTCTATGAAAGCAAAAAGATACAAATATCAGGTAGGGACATGAACCTTTTCAGTCTCTACCTTACACATGGTATCAGAGTGAGACATTTATAGCTTTTTAAATAAAATAAAAAGGAAAGTAAGAGCATATAGTCTGAAGAGCGTTAAAGCAGGCAGACAGGCAGTGAAACAGAGACAGCTAGTCCAAGCTCAGTTCTGCTTAGCAGCTGGCCCTCCAGGACAGGAGTCCACAGCAAGTGTCAAAGGGGGACACAGATGACAGGCACAGCAGCCCAGGGAGAAAGAGCCAGCTCAGGCATGCCACATGCCACATATAGCTGATCCTCCTTGTTCTTGCTGCCTAGACTCACAGCACACCAAAGCTAAGAGACCCAGGAAATGTTAAGGCCTCCTCTCTTCATTTTTCAGTGTAATAAAGTTCTCAAAAATGTTAGGAAAAAAATGAATGAGTAAAAAAATGTAAGTTTCTACAACTTTGCTGGGAGAGACTCCATGTTATTTGCCAGGCTATTCCCTCGTAGGGAGGCCATATTGCTGTTTTGACCAGACTGCTCATACAGGTCCCCTCTTTCTATGTACAAAGCAGTTGCCCAGGGTCTATATGAGTAGATGGCTTTCCGTGGCCTCCACCCACATTTCAGAGTCCAACTTAGGACCACTGTGCCCTTTCCGAGTGTCCATGAATGCCCTCCTAATGCTGTTACCACAACCCAGGGGGCATTGTGGCTCTGGGGATCGATGGCTTTCATGAATGTGGGCTTTAGAGAGAAACAGACTACCACATGCAGGAACACGGCTCCTGCAAAAAGACTCGGGTAATGCAAGATCGGCAAGGCATTGTTTGAGAAGGTAAAAAATTCGTAAGTAGCTACCTGACACTAATACTTTCATTGTCCCTGTGTGATGGCCTATATCACTGAGTTTATCTCTTTGTTTGTTTGCAAAGCTGGAGCCTGAACTTAGAGTCTCATCCACAGTAGACAAGCACTCTACCATCCAGTACACCCAACCCTGTATATTTTTCATTTTGATTATGACTTTTTTTTTAAAGAAAGTACTGTTCAACAGTCATGGCTGCACCATTGGTTCAGCATCCTACAAGGCCCCCCGATTCTAATTCTAATGAATTGTATCAAAGCATTCAGCCTTTCCCACTAAGCCCCTGAAGCTCAGTCTGATTCTTGCCAAGGAACCAGCTAGAGCACCCAGCAGGACTCACTCCCAGGATATATACACTGTGGAAACAGACACATCATACCCTAAGCTCCAGAATTTAAAAGCACCATGGAACTTACTTTGATTTGTACAGTAAACCCTAATTTTTATATCTAATTATGCTGAAATAACAATTTATCAGGAAATTTTATTAGTCGTGTTACATGAAGCATCCACAAGTCCCTCCCAAAACTGAAGTTTCCAATTCAATCCAAACTTTGTAAGATATTGTATGGTTTGGTGGCCTGTTGCTCAATATCTTTCTCTCTGTGAAGCCCATACCAGAAGGTTTTATGGATGCTGTGTACCCACTACCCATCAGAAATTTGACCCTTGACTCACAGGCTTCTGAGCTCTCCACATCTGGGCACATACCTTCACATGCATACCTGCTCTTGTGTTATCCCATCTAGATGATAGCCTCTTGAAACAGGAACTGATCCTTACAGTTTTGTTGCCCCTGGAACCCATTTTCATGGCTCACACACTTAGCAACTCATATTATTTATATTTTGGGCTAAGCCCTATTTTGAACTGAATAGTAGGAACCCTGAGGTAGCTCTGATGTAAATGCTTCAACTCAAACAATCAGGTCAGGCACCACCACAGTCGTCTTTCCAATCAGGCTCCAGGTGAGAAGGAAGGCTAAAGAGGATAGAAACTTCCAGAACCAAGCAATAACAGTTTACTTTCTCCAGCAGCCTCCCTCTTCTGGCCTCAACAACGCACACTCATATATCCCAAAAAGGTTTCTGCAGAACATATTGTAAGTGAAGCAGTAGTGGTCACAGGTTGGAGAGCCAAAGGATAAGACCTTGTGAGCTTTCAGAATGTGCATCCTACAAAACATAGTGCTTTCCAGATACAAGGGTATGGACAGCCTATGTTGGCCTTGGCATAGCAGTTTCCAGACACGCATTCACAGGTCACTGGGGCTCAGGAACTCACCGTCCGATGTGTGAAGGAGCTTATGACTTTTCAGTGTCCCTTTGGATTTGAATTTCTTGCCACACATGTCACAGAGGTGGGTCTTCTCAGTGCTGTGGCGATTCATATGAGCCTTGAGGTTGCTCTTGCTACGAGTTGCATATTCACATAAAGAACATTTGAAGGGCTTCACACCTACCAAGGAGAAATGCATAAATGTACATTTACATGTGTTTGTGCACATATATATAGGGATCCAGATGAATAGTTCACACCATAAAAAACATCCATTTGAATAAAGCAGTATCCTTGCTTATCCCCAACATGTTCCACACTTCCCATGATTGGCTCATCTTACCTTGTTCCACCCTATAGAGACACTTCAGGGTCAGCCAAGGTCCCCTTCCTGTGATTTCTGAACTTTCTAGTTGCCCATCAACATTCCATAATCCTGCAGCTCTCTCCTGCTGAAATGCTCTTACATATTACAGTGAGTTGATCATTTCTGCTCTCTCTACAGTCTGGTAACTCCCTAAAAACAAACACCCTGCTCAACTTACAAAGCTGTCATTAAATCCAACTGAACTGAGTTGAACTAAATAAAATCAGAGTCCCCATCAGTCTTTGCAAATATCAATGTGATCAGGCACTCAGGGTCAAGTGCTAAGGATATTCCTGTTCATAAAATAAACAGAGTCATACAACACTGGGTGTTGTTGTGTGTCAATGACTCACACTGAACTGTTCCCATGATATTGTGCCTGGCTTTTACCCACCAAGAACCAGTATTAGAACAGCTCTTGTGCTTCATCTCAAACCATTTCTTGACCACTATGGAACTGTTATATCCCCTGAGCAACACAAGCCTGGAGGGTGACTAAAGTTCCACGTGCGTGGTCAATATCGAGGACTGTGGACAGTACCCAGGACTTATTTATCTTTATTTTTTTCCCTTCTTGTTAGTCTTCATGATTTTCTCTTGGATTTGCCTATTGTTTTTCATATCCCATGTCTTATTTTGGGACTGAGCTAGGAGAAAGAATACTTACAGTGCAATGCAATGATTAACTCCAAAGAATCCCAGCTACTGTAATGTGGGGAAGTAGGCTTTAAAAAAAAATCTTTATAATTCCATCATTATAGAAAAATTCATACACAAGTGAAAAAAGAGAACACCATGACAATCCAACATAAAACAGCAGCCTTTAATTTTCTGAACCTTTATCAAAATTCTGAAGTTTTTACAAAGAGTGGATTTCTCCCAAATGCTCAATATAGAATATTAACATTCTATCCCCTGTGAATGTAACAGTGGAAATGATTCCACAACAAAACTCAAGGTACTTTATAGTTTTGTTTCACAGTAAGTGAACTAAAGGTCAGGAAGATGGAAGGTTTGCTTCATCCTGCATCTCATACGTGGTGAGGAAGACTACAGCATGCCCTCCCATTCCAGCCCTATGGCTGCCACACAAGCATTACCACCCAGGAAAACAGACTTCTAATCCACAGGCTCCTATCTCCCTGCATTTCTATTGGTGTCAGGTCCTTGGTTCTGTGTCTAGCCACTCCCAGATGATTCCCATGAGCACCATTCTGAACCAGTCTCCATGCAGACAGAGGCTTCTGCCTCCTTCTCTGCGGAGAAAACCCTATCGATGAACTCCTTCAATGCCCTCAGAAAATGACGTGTGTGTACACCTCACCACCACTGCCAACTCCTCCATTGCTGCCTCCACACAGGAAGCATCACTTTCTCCCAAGGCCAGTCAGTGGAGACGTGAAGAACAGAGCTTTAGAATCATTCCACATGGATCCACATCCCAGTTCCATTCCTGGCTGGCAGTGCAGGATGAATATTTCACTTTGTGAGCCTCGTGTGTCCTCACTGGTAACACAATACTTGGCTCTCCGGTCCCGGAACACACTGACTAGGGTATCCTGGGCAAAGTGCTAAGCACACTGCCTGGGGCCCACAGTGCCCAGTAAGTGCTGGTGAACAAGAAATCGCCCTGCAGCCTCAGCACTGGGCCTCAGTCCCATGCCTTCTCTCTTCACTGAAGTGGGAGTCGCCCTCTTCCCAGCAGCTCCTCCCCTGGGGCCTGCACCTGATAGCATATTATGGGAAATACTTGAGGTTCCTGACCAGCAGGAGGGAACTAATACACAGGACTAGCAGGGTACTCCTGATACCTGCACTTTCCTCATGCTCAGGAGGGCAACATCCTCCTCTAGGGGCAAAGAATGAGGCTGACGACAGGAGACTCCTGACTTCCAACCTGCCAGACTCCCAGCAAATGGCTCTCTAACACTTCCACACCTGCTCAAGCACCCCTGAGCACAGCCCCTATGCCTCTCTGGACTACCTATTTCCACTCAAACCTTCCACCTTCCAGTCCTCTCTACAGTATAAACAATGATGCTCCACACTGTCAAAATTGCAAGGTTCCCGCTTCCCTCTTTTCTTCTAGTCATTCATAGTTCCATTATTCTTCAAGGCTGGTCACAAACAGTATGTAATAGTGGGCACTGGAACTGCCCAGAGTAACTCATGGGCTTGCCTGTTCTCAGGATAATGGTTTCCCTGTAAGCAAAGTATGGTGGTGATCTATTTCACTACAGTTATAGCCACAGCTAGGAAGAGGGAAACACAAATGCAACTAAAGTCATGGTTCCAATCTCTGATCTCCACTGGCTGGCAGACACCACTCTATGTGCTAAAGAAATCCTAACAACAGGACAAGTGAAGATAAACTTCCTCCTTATGTAGTCCCCAAATAAAGCACACAGCACAAAATTAAATAGATGCTCCAGATGGTAAGACGACTCACCCTCATGAGCCCAGATGTGCCGCTGAAGGTCTGAGCCGTTCTTCATGAAATAGAAATCACAATATGGACACTTCATGGCTCGCTTTCCAATTAGCCCTTTGAGCTGGACCCTTCTCCCAAGAACCTCAGAAATGGTGTTCATGGAGACCTCTGACAAAAAAAAAAGCAGGGTGGCAATCAGAGAGGACAAAGCACTTTGTTCTTCAGGTTAGAGGTAAATAAACTTCAATGGCACCTGCATACGTAAGAAATCGCCAGGAAGTGCCTCGGTATCACGAAACAGCCTTTTTACTGAAAAAGCTGAACCTGAATCTGATCAAGGTATAGATCTAAGTACCTGTTAATTACAATGTGAATAATGGAGAAACACTACAAAGCATTGAGCTCACAGGGGCAGAGCATGGGCTTTCTATAGGAAAAGTAACTCGGCTTCTCCCATAAATGACTGGTGCAGAAACCAGTCAGGAGACTAGGGGCTCTACAGAATACAAGGAGTGTAAGTGACACAATCACTAAAATACTGCAGCTCGATTCAACCTGTACAAAAAAAAAAAAATCTTAGCTCATCTGGTGAAATGGAAGTGGCCATACACAATACCCTAGGATACAGTAAGAGTCGTTGTTAGCACTGTTTTTTTACAGGCCACACTGAGGTCATGCTAAGCAAAACCATCATCCATTAGAGATAATCTGTAAAGTCTTTCATAGGAAAACTGAATGGGATAAACTTGGGGAATATTCTAGAGAGAAAAAGTCATGGGAAGTGTAGAAGCATGTGGAAGCTGAGGTGTGGACACACGGGTTCCTTGTATAATTTTGTATTTATGAACAAAGGTCAGTGCTTTGACATGCTATTAAATAGATGCTAGTCACCTAGGACAAAGGTTAACACCGGAAGAGTGAACAACATAACCCATGGGTTCCCACACTGACGAAGGTTCCCAGGTCTGTGTGTCCCCAGCTAAAACCCAACTGTCAGAGCCCTTTACTTTGAACAGAGAAGTCAGTTCTCGTCTTCCAAGGGCGGTACAAATGTTTAAACAAGAGGAGGCAGGGATGAAGAAGAAGGTGGATTTTGCTGATACTCATCTGTGTAACCCAGGTCTGCTCTGTCTGCTCTACTTAATATGACAATGGGGTCTGACGTTAAGGTAAGGTCCACCTCAAAGATCCCATGGCAGTAAAAATGACAGTGTCTGGAGTACAAGTAGTCAGCATGCCTCCGTACAGGGTGAAGCAAGGCAGATACAAGGCTTCCCCAAGGGAAAAGCATTTTAAATACTGAATTCATTCACATCCTCCCTCTTCATTCCTAGCTGGTACAGCTTACATACACTATTATGTTTCAAAATAAACAGAAGTATTTAAAAAGTAATCATCAATTCTAAAATTCATAACCTTACCGGGATGATTGGTCTTGATATGTGACTTTATCAATCGGTCTTCTGAAAAAGATTTTTCACATACAGGACAAGAATAACTCCTTTTGTCCTTAACAGAAAAAGAAGAAAAAAAAACAAAGCAATTAACTATCTGAAGTGTAGGTTCTGTAGAAAGATAACCACTACCCTCACCATCATCATCACCAAACACCATCATCATCACCATCACTACAAACACACACCATTACATGCACTGCCATTAAACACCATCATCACCACTCCCATCGACACTGTTACCTCCACTATCAACATTGTCACCATCCCCATCATCGTCCCCATCACAACCATCATCAATACCATTACCATGACAACACCCAGCAGCAAAACCCTCATCAAAACTGGACCTACAGTGCATCCTCCGAAGCACTTAACAGACAGCCCTCCCTCTACACAGCCTTGGGAAGACCCAGGTGTGAGAGCTCTAGGAAGGCAGAAAGGGCAGCCAAGAGGCTCTATCACACATTCCGGGGCTACTCAACCCAACAGCATAGGAAGTCCTCAGCACTCAAAACACTGCTTGCACTAAGCTTTCACATGTGATTGAGATCCACAAGCATTTGCCAATAAAAGGCATTCATGTTTACATTATCGATTAAGAAAAGAAAGGCAGGGGAGAAGGGAGATGAACACAAGATCAAGGCAGTCAACATTCTGGCAAAGGGTACATGCATGTGTGTTGGTGGGGGGGACGACGGAGATGAACTCACGAGCCCCCACCTCACTTGAGGAGCCATTTAAAGTCAATTGATTCTAAAGGGGAGGGGGGAGTAGTGGGGGGAGAGGAAGAGCTCTTTAAGGATGTAGGCTCTGGTAGGCTGACCATGCTCTAGTGGAAGAACTCATACACATGAGTATACAAACAGGACAAATTGGTTGTTATTTAAAAAGAAAGAGGATATGAATTTAGGAGGACGGGTAAATTTGGAAGGGCTAAGGGAGAAGAGTCTGGAGTGAATATGATCAAAATACATAAAAAAAGAAAGCTTTCTACAAACACACACACACACACACACACACACACACACACACACACACACACACACACACGACCTTGCCATGAGCTTTCTGGCTAACCAATGCCATTGACTTCGGGGTTTCTCCACATGCTCCCATTACTCCTTCCACTGTCCTTGACACTTGGCTCACAGCGCCATGTTAGAGTCTCAAGGACCCTCTGGCATCCTGGTGGCGCCCTCCCACCTTGTCCCAGCCGCCCTTGTCATCACAGCTGATGGAGGCATTCAGAAGAGTTTTGAAGGAGTTTACACTGATCTCCCCTGAGTCCTTGCTGTTTGATTTTACTTCTTTTAATCCCTGATAGTCTGAAGCAATTTATCTTAGAGCTTATCAGGGGCCCATTTCTTGATGTCTTTGAAGATTGTCAGGACACAGACAGTGGGAGAGGGGGCTGGGAGAAGGGTAGACTCTTAGGATTCATTTACTTCTTTTTCAAAAACTCATTGCCTTGCTACAGATGAAACCTAAACACCAAACATTCAGCAAACTTGAAAAGGACTGTGGCTAAAAGAGCCCCTGGCAAAGGCAGGAAACACAAGAAAGCTAGCCATAGGGTGGCTAAGAGCCCAGCCTTTGGAGTCTGTTTGCTCCAACAGAGATACCTTCAAAGCCATTTGTGCCCAGAAAGAAGTGGGTGTCAGCAGGAGACTAGCAGGAGATGGAGAAAGAGCCCTTGCCTGAGGCTAGGGCCTAGTTTATCACTCAGGTGACCTCATCTGGCCTGTGCCTCACTGGCTGGTATACTGGCCTCCAAAGAAGTGGAGAGTTCTGAACCCCACACTGGCTGGAGAACATCAAGTTGAATCCCCCCACTAACTATAAATATGACACATGAATCCCCCTATAAAATACTGACATCAAGCTCCAAAAGAAAGTTGGCACTCACTCTGAACAGTGTCTGAACAATTTCTCAGGATTAGGTCACAGTCACAATATCTGTCATGTGCCAGAAACTGTTCTGGGGACAAAGGCAGCTGATTTTTGAGCTCTTTCAAGTTATCTAAAGATGTGCCACCCAGAAAGCCCACCATCAATGTGGGGCTTTCAGAAGCTACAGCAAGCACTAGGAAGGTGACACTTGTGTCATGACTGATTGAAATACAATACTGGATGTGCTGGATTTAGGGCTGCAGAGAGAAGGCTTTCCTTCTGCTAAAGACAGTTCTATTTCCCCAGGCCACGAGGAACCTGTTCTCCACACAGGAAGCTCTGGGAGCCTGAAGGCTGCTGCACAGAAGGTAAAACACCCAAACTGGATGACCCAGAATCAAACGTGTTTTGTGATTATATGTGACCACATTTTTATAGCCCTTGGTAAGGAAAAATGCTTTTCAGTCACCTACACTACATTTTCCTCTGGTCACATGAACACACGCTGATCAGGTAGACCCATTTATTTCTGAAAAGATATGCAAAGCAGGTTCTTTTACTTTCTTGGTGCTTTTAGGCAACTTATTATTTTAGTTTATCTAAAAAGTACATATTATTCAGCAAGCATCAAACAAAAGAAATCTGTGTGCTTTTCAAAGATCAAGGCCAAGTATTCTAAACACTTACCAAGAGGCCAGCAGACACTGGATGAATACACCACCCCTGTCACTGCTAGTGACCTCATCCTCCAGCTAAAGGCACAGGGAGGAGGAGGGGATGGAGGTGAAGAGTAGCAACAGCATCTATCATGGTGGCCCTATGTGCATAAGGCCATGCTTAGTCCTTAGCAGCATCACCACAGTATGTTCCCAGGGCAGTCCTGGAGGTGGATACCACTGACCTCACTTCCAGGTCATGGGCCTGAACAGCTTGAAGGGCAAACTAAGCCCCTTCACAATCTTAAAACTAACTCCCTCAGGCTTGGACTGCAGCTTCTGTGTGGGCACTTCTGAGGTCTCCTGAGGGAACACAAACAGAAGCAGGGAGCCCTTCTTTGAGGAACAGATTCCCAGCGCCCATTTCCAGTTAGGATGACAGCAGAAGGCCATGGGTCTCATTCCTAACAAATGCTACTGTGACACTGGGGTTCAGGGAGGTCACCAATTAAATCACTTAGGTAACAGTTTACACACTTATTTAATAGGAACCCAGGAATCCAGCCTCCTAACCGCATCCCCCAGCAATACTAATACATACTGGCATTGGAACACTTAATGCTGAAAGGAAACCTCAGAAAGCAATACCTGCCCTGTGTGTGGGTGAACTCTACTGACAGGCTCTGATTTGGTCTACTTAATTTCACTATTAAAAGAGCCAGGCATGATTCACTCAAATGTTTGCACAATCCTCTAATGGATCATGATCTATGGATGCTGCCATTCACTGACCTAATTTAATCCCCATAACCTTAAGGGATGAGGGAAGTGCTTTATCTCCAATTTACAAGCAAGATAACTGAGGCTCAAAGAGCCTAAGCAATTTGCCCAAAATCACAAAGACCGATGGATGTGGGACCAGAAATGAGCACAGCAGAACCCAAAGCTCCCTTGCATTTGACTAAAATCATGTTTTCCCAAGTCTCCTCTTCATGAAGTTTTAATAATTTTAAAGTTGCTTTTGTTAGTGTTCTATCCCAGCAACAGGAAGGGAACCAAGGCATACATCACTTTACATAAAGATTTTGAACATCCTCAGAATGCACTATGAAGGAAGTTCTGGGGCTGATTCCCATGGAGGGATGATTGCATTCCTTCACCACATATTGATGCCATGGGCCTAGTAATGAGTAGGAACAGGCAGTGGGAAGAAACTACACTAGCCATCACACTTTTATGTATTCGTAGATGTGAAAAATAACATCAGGGTCACAAAAACTGACAATTTGCCAGATTTTCTCTAAATCCTAATACAACCAGACTATGTCGGGATATGTAGGCTCATATGGAGGTGTAGGGTGGTATTTTAACTTTGGTTGTGCATGGGAATCTGTGTTCAAAGAAGGAATGGTAAAAACAAAAGTGGAACCTCAGCCAGCATTATAACATACCCAAGGCCCTCTTCAAGTGCACGGGTAAGGAAAGCAAGCCCAGAAGAGACCAGGACTCATGCTGGTTCTCATGATTTCCTAGTGAGAACAGTATCAGCTCCTGTCCCAGCCAGATGCTGATATGACCTAGGTCCTCAGCTGGACCACAGTATCATGATGAGATGCTTTTACATCTTAAGCAAGTTCATGCAATCTCCCTGGATCTCAGCAGCAGGTAGAGAAAGGCTGCCCATTGTCCTCTGAAAGACAAGCAGTCAGAATGAGGTAGAGCGCTGGACTCTGTCCTTGGTACCACATCCCCAGTGCTCTCTCTTCCTTGGCCGTGATGATGGGAGTATGTTACACTAGTGAAGGCAAGCGGCTGGCAAGGACAACACACTAAACATGGATGGGAGGTTTGGCAATGGAGAATATCGGCAGCTTCTCCTCAGATGCTTTACAGTTTTACAAACTTTTTGAAGGAAAGATTAACATTTAAACTCCAAACGTTAACATGCATGAGTTACTAAACTGATTTCACCAAGAATTAGCTCAAATCCTATGAATGTAAAACAGTGTAGCTGGAAACTATATCCTGAGGTGATCACCACTACAAATGCACTTCAAATGCTCATCGATTCAAGGAGAGTGAGCAAACTCCATACAAAGTAGTATTGCCCAACTCTAAAAAGGAGCCAAGCATGAAGCCTGCTATCACATAGATGAAAAAAAAAAAGATACTAGTCACCAAAAAACTTCATTTATAGCACACACATTTTATGTTCTTTTTATATAAAATGTTCAGGAGGGGCAAAACTCTGGACACACAGTGTCCAGGGACAAGGAAGTGAGTGATGACCACAAACAGGAATGCCTTCCTATAGGATAACAGAAATGCTCTAAATTTGCCAAGAGCTGCATAATTCTATGTATGCACTAAATTCCACTGAACCTCACATCTTAAAAGAACAAATTATACCATATGCACATCACAAATCAATAGAGAGCTTAAAAAACAACGACCTTTCTTGCAGATGTGGAATATTTTAGAGCTAACACCTTCATTATCAGGTCAACAGCATCTACATGAAGGGAACGGGACTTGTCCCTGTGTGGTCTCCTCAGCTGCATGACAGAAATAAGTTACAGCAAGCTCAAATGACAAATGTCACCCAGATTCAAAAGCTGGGAGTTTTCACAGAAGTGCTCTTCACTGCAATGGCATACAGTCCTTCACTTCAGGAACAAGTGTCCAGTGGATCAACTTCGCGGCATGAAATCAAAGTCAAGGTTCGGCTGACCATTCCCTCCCTCCTCACCCTCTTTCTTAATCCAAATATCCTCAACCTTAGAATGATACTCCACATCCCCTCAGAGTATATGGGGAGGCAGTTTGAGGACCCAATAGCCTTCTCCTCCCATTGTTATTTATTCATCCCACACAAAGCAGAGTGTACCTTGCAGACAAGAACAGCCTTACTTGTATCTGAAGTGTCTGGTATAAAAGCTTCCTACTTTAGAAACAGCAACAAATTAGGTACCTTTAAGAGTATCTCAACTGAGCTGGGCAAAGTAGCTTCAACCTGTAATCCCAGAATCTGGGAAGCTAAGGCAAGAGGAATATTATGAGTCTGAGGTCAACCTGGCCTATAGACTGAGACCCCGTTTAAATATATATATATTAGTGGGAAGGTGGGAAGATGTATAAATACCAACAAGGGCAAAGGTAGAAATGAAACACTAAGAACTTCTAAGAAAATGTAAGTATGATGAAAAGCAGGACAGTATCTCTTGTGAGGTTAACTGAGCCACACTCCTTGCATCAGAATACCGTACTTCTCTAGCAGCAATGTGCAGACATTAACTTTTGCAGCTTTAGGAATGGCTGCCACTTAGCAACACAGGAATATCTACCACATAGTCTCTGCCTACCTGGGCCAAAGTCCACCTCTGCTACATTCCTTCAGAAGATGTACAAGTGTCCAAGAGACTCACCAAGAAAAGCATATCGAAGACTAATGACCTGCTACTACCAAATGAATAGCATGGGACAGTGATAAGGCCATGGAATGAATTCTGTCATCCCTCATTCGTGGCATAACCACAGACCAAGTTATTGCATAATAGAGACTGAGACACCAGACTCTGTGTGGTAGAGGAAATGATTCCTAACTCCTAGGGGTGACATGGGAATTAAGTTAAAAACCCAAGAAGTGGCTACAAGATCAAACCAGCAGCTTTCTGCCCCAAGGTTGACTTCCTTAGAGCTTCTACATGTTGCTGAAGGTGAGACGACCACTCATACTCATCACCCCAAAAGTAGAAGGGTGAAATGCCAGTGCTGTGTGCACATTCCCTGGGGAGAGGCAATCAAATGCTTACCCACTCCTTACAGGGCTCCAATAGCAAACCAAAGTGTGCTTCCATCAAAGGCTAACCTGGGGAACCAATGAGTTTATTGAGCTTATTTATAGAACACAGATCAGAAGTTACTTACTGGAGTCTGGGTAACTCCAAAGACACACACACACACACACACACACACACACACACACACACACACACACACACAAAGTCTCACCCCAGAACTAATGACAACTACTAAGCAGATGGAGTTCCAAGCATTTCAGTGAACACTCCCACAATCTACACACTCTAGCATCCCAGAGATCCCAAAGCCACATGCAATTAGGGTAAATTATACAGAGCTAGCTCTGGGGAACAAGAAAGAGTGATTGGGATCAGGTGAGCGTCCAGTGACCCTCTCCATTCCCCTTTCTATGACAGACCATCAACAGCCAACGACACTGATCCTGGTGGACCATTGCTGTTCTCAGGAAAGTCTTGACGGTTTTGCTCAAAGGATGGCATCTACAATAATCATTTATATATAAGAACTGAAGTACACAAAGTCAATATGAAAGACATCAGAGGCATATTCCTGATGCTCCCAATGACCCCAGCACTCAGGATGTGGTCAAGAGACTGAGAATCAGCATTTGAGGAAGAAGATAACCAGGCTAGACCAGTAGCCCCAGGACATTCACAAGCAACAGACAAATTCTGATCGTAGAACAAGAGGCAGTCTAGGCTGCCCAGTCAATGTTTCCATGAACACTGGCTTAGTTCCTGTCATCCATCTCAACTGGGTTTGAAAACTCAGTCCAGAGCAGCTAGCTTCAAAACAGTAAGATCAATGGCATTAATAATAGTCCACACCAGGCAAGCACTGCTCTGGACACTCACATGTACTCCTTCACCTCTTCTTCACCTGCACGAGTACACTGAGCCATGCAGCAGTTCCACTACTCATGGCAAACATGGCAAAGAGGGGAGCAAGGGTTCAGTCCAGACTTCTGCTTTCCTAGGCTCCAGCATACACTCCAAGGCTACTCCTAACAAGAGCCTATTCGAACACTGAGCTCATTCCCAAAGCCTCAGTGCCAACCGGACAGTAAGGACAGAAAAGCTGACCAATCACATGCCTCCGTGCCCCACTGGAGAAAGAGAGGGAGGGAGGGAAGAAGGGAGGAGGGAAGAGGGAGAAAATGGGGAAGGAGGAGAAGGGAAGAGCAAGATCAAGAACAAAAGCAAGCCTGCAACATGAGTAAGAGAGAGAGGCGAGAACAAGAAAGAAAATATGACAGGAAGCCAGTACAGCCGGCACTTACGCTCAACTACTTACCAGGCTCAGTTTCGGGGCCATTATATTTTAACATTGCAATAACAACAGAATAGAAACACACAAAATATACACAGGTGTGTGTGTGTGTGTGTGTGTGTGTGTGTGTGTGTGTGTGTGTGTGTGTGTGCAGGTATGTCTATGTACATATGTATGCATACATGCTTATACATATCACTGTACATGAGTATGCATATATGTGTATATACATAATGGACTTTGTGGTAGTTTGAATAAGAATGGCCCCTATAGGCTCATAGATTTGACTGCTGGGACACCAGTGAGTGGCACTATTTGAAAGGATTAGGAGGTGTGGCCTTGTTGGAGGAAGTACATCACTGGGGGCAGGCTGTGAGGTTTTAGAAGCCCATGCCAAGCTCAGAGTCCTTCTCTCTGCCTACAGATCAGAATGTAGTTCTCAGCTGCTGCTCCAGTGTCTGCCTATATGCCCTCATGCTCCCTGCCATGATGATAATGAACTAAGCCTGTGAAACTGTAAGCAAGCCCTCAATGAAATGCTTTCTCTTCTAAGAGTTGCAGTGGTCCTGGTTTCCTTCACAGCAATAGAACAGTGACCAAGACAAACTTTTAAGAGTATATTTTATATAAAAGCTGTCAGGTTTCAAAAATGACAAGTAAATTTTCTGAGGCCCCAGAGCCTGTGGGAGTGTGGGAGCTGGTGCTGGAGTCGACGCCAACATGCTCTGATCTCACACCTCCAAAGCACCCCGACTGCACCTTCGTGATTCTTAGACCAGAAAAGTAGAGCAACACATCCAATCTCTGAAGTCTCCTTTTATGTTCAATCTCCTTTCGTGCTGTCTTTAGCACAAACAGAGCCCCATGGGCCCCAGGTGTGGCTTCCTTTTTATGTTAAGAAGTCTTAAATCATTCTCAGGAGTGTCAGCCTCTTCCCATCAGACTAGACCTTGCAAAAACAAACATTCGCTCATTGCATCACTGTGTGATCAACCACCACCGAACCAGACATGCCCATCGTGCACGTTAATGGCACCTTGGATTAACATGTCACTTCTTAAATCAAAATGCTTCCTAGATGCCGTTGATGTTTACAACAAATGCTCCGCTAATGTGACAACAGTGGTCATTAACATTCACTACACTCACACTGCCTACCAAACACTGTTCCTAGTATAATTACCTAATCCAATCCAATCATCCAACTTAATCCCCCAACAACACTTACAGGCAGCTATTATTATTCCCGTTATTAATAATTCCTTAAAATGCCATTTACGAAACCTCCGCTTCATTTCCGCTCTGCAGATCTTTCTTCTGTAAACTTTCTCAAAATGCTGAAAGATTTGCAGAGAATGCAATCTGTTCAGTCTAGTCAGAGACTCACTGTGAAAGGGGCTGAGGGTGAAAGCTCTGTGAGGCACCAAGAGGCAGGAGAAGGGCCCCTCTGCGCTTGGAGGGGGCAGGGTGTTCACACGCCTGCAGCAGGGATACCTCTCTCTCTGCATAAAAGGGAAAGAGCACTGGGCACCCGCACCCGGGGAGGAGGTGGGGGCTGCCATTTGGGCTTGCTACTTACCAGCTCTGTGTGAACTTTAAGATGGGCCTGTAGTTTATATTTATCTGGAGTCGAGTAGTCACAGCCGTCAGTGGGGCACTTCAGCAAGATGTTGCTGTGTTTCTGAATGACATGGCGTTTAAGGCAGTTTTTGGTGATGGAGGAATAGTGACACTGAGAGCAATAATACAGGTGTTCCCGGGTGTGGGTGCGGACATGCATGTCAAAATGCACTTGGTACCAAAAAAGTTTGCCTAAAAAAATATTGTCACATGAGAACAAGGAAGTTTCTTTTAGACTGAATTTGATTTTTTTTTAAATTATCATCATTTTTTTTTTAACTGCCATATTTATCTCCTTTATCTCATATGCCCTTCACACTTTCCACCACACTTCTGTTGGGAAATTACTTTCCAAAAATGGCAGTTTTCAAGTATTAAGATACCACTACCTTGCACGTGGTGTTAGGGCTAGGAAAAGAGAAAGGAGATGTTCATTGCGAGCCAATTATGTCACACATCACTCTGCCAATGCACCGATCCAAGAGCCTCCGAGTCCTCCTGACACTCTGGGCTATGAGACAGGCTCTAGACTACCCACTTCCTGGACTGCCTGCTGTCTGGGAGCTCCTAGAGGCAAGCTTTCAACACCAGCTAGAAGGGAGCTGCTCGGGCCTCCCTCCACAGAGCTGCAGCCAGGCTCCTACCCTCTCTAGCCAATTGGAGCCCCAACTAAAAACCAGAAGAATGATTCTTCCTGGTCAGGAGATGGGTGAGGTTGTGAGCAACCCTCAACATGACCCCCAACATGGTCAGCAGTGCTGGGGAGGCTCCAAGTGTGACTTAGGACATGGGCTCACTGCTCCTGTCTATCCCAGAGGAGGGTGGCTCATTTAGGAGGTGTTCTTTGCAAACAGACATTAGCTCACATGGTACCCAAGGTGATGACAGCATGACAGGAATGGTCAGGGCTGCTGGGAAGGAAAGCTCCACTCCAAGGCACATGTGACCACCACAGCCTTCCTTACCACAGTATTCACACTCCAGTTCTCCATAGACCTTCCGGATCCTCTCGCATAGACTGATGTTCATCTGCTTCTTTTGGAGACTGTCTAGGACCTTCATGAACGCTGTGCTGCCAGGGTGGTGCTCAGAGGAGGGTTTGCAAGAGTCAGGCTGGCACATTCCAAGGTCCCCTCCATCAGCCGCTGTAGGAAGGAGGTCTGGGGCCTCCGCTGGGTTTGACCTGAGACACCCGTTGGAGTCAGATTCACTGGCTGGCAGAGTGACCGAATTCTGCCCTCCCCCTGGAGGGCCCTGGTCACTCTGGGTCTCTGGGTCTGGTTCGGCACTTTTGGCCTTGGCCAGCAGCAGTGTGACTTCTTCACCCTGAGTCTGGGCTGAGCCTCCATGCTGTGCATCCAAGGTTGTCTCGGCAGCATGAGCCTCAGCAGAGGAGGTATCATTTTTCAGTAAAAAATCATCGGAAACCACTCCAAGAGGGTTGAGGTCAGAGCAGACCACAGTGGTTCCTAGTTTGCTGGGGGACAGGGAAGGACTTTCAGTCTTGGAGGTGGTCAAGGGCACAGCCGGGGCAGTTGCTTCTTCAGGGGCCTCCAGCTCCCTTGCGCCTGCCTCAGGCTGAGCTTCCCCAGGACAAGTCTCCTCCTTGTGCCCATCTATTTCCGGGCACACAAATTCCTCAGCTGCCAGCTGCAGCTGGTCCCCCAGGGCTTCTTGCTGGATGTCCCCACCAGGCTCCAGGAGGCAGAAGCTCTGGTTGATGGAGCTGGTGAAGACCAAGGTCTCCTGGGCTGTCCCATGCACCTCTCGGATATGGGAGCGCAGCCTGATGGAGCTGACAAACTTCTTGAGACATATAGCACAGACGTAAACAAAGGGGTGCTTTCTGACATGCAGCTCCAAGGCCTGGTACTTAGTGGCCCCATGGCCACAGAGCTCACAAGCAAAGGGCCACTTGTCGCCATGGACCAGCATGTGGCGGTCCCGGTCTAGCTCGTTCTTGAACTTGCGCTCACAGATGTGGCAGTCATAGAGCAGCTGCCGCTTGCCCTCCCTCGTCATCAGGCGGAGCTCATCCAAGGCCTCCTTGACCTTCTTGTCCTGAGGGTCATGCATGTCCCGGATGTGCTTGATGAGGTTCTTGACGTCCGAGTACTTTTTCTTGCAGAAGCGGCAGTGCTGTTTGATCTTCTTGTGCACGCGCTCAATGTGCACCTTGAGGTGGCCCTTGCTGAGGCAGGTGAAGGAGCAGTAGTCGCAGGCGAACTTCTCGCCCGTGTGCTTTCGCAGGTGCACGTTGAGGTTGGCCTTGATGGCGCTGGCATAGCTGCACTGGGAGCACTTGTATGGCTTCTCGTTCGTGTGGATCCTCAGGTGCGCCTGCAGTGAGTGCTTGAACTTAAAGACCTTGTTGCAGTACTCACACGTGAAGATCTTCAGCTGGGTGGGACCTAACCTAGAGAGGGGTAATAAAGAGCACCATTAACTTCTGGCGACCTTGAAACTTTCCAACGAACCAGCTACAGGGGAGTGGGCAAAGGTGGAACAATTATTTGTTCAACAAATAAGACTTAGGGGGAAGAACAGGACAGGCATGGACAATGACGGAAGAGGGTGCTGGTCTTCAGGGAGCACAAACTCTAGCGGGAGAGAAGGGAGTCCTGCAGCGTCCCACAGCAGCACGGTAGTCATTGAAAGGAATGTGTGAAGAGCAGAGAAAGACACCTCTAACTGAACAAAGGCTGCTGGGGAACACCAGCTATGGTAACATCTGGGTCAAAGCTTCGTCAACAGAAAAGGTGGTGGCAAGAGAAGGAAACAGGAACAGGGGGTGTGATTGACACAAGCATGGTCACCATGCATGCTCCGAAGCTTGTTTGTTCTGGGACGCCTGAACAGAAGCAAATTCAGTCTCCATGAGACTAGACCTGGTGAGCTTACTCGTAATTATTAATAATAATTTACATTATTATCCACACCTGCCTATTCATTCCACTAACTGCCAGGGCGGCTCTTGTCCTCTTTGCAAGCTTGCAGGGTGCTCCAGAGAGAAAGACTGACCCTTGTCTTTACCCATGCCTCCACTTCTTCCCAGAAAGGGAGAACACAGACGGATGGTAATGAGTTTGGAACAAGACCTGCAGTTTGCTAGACAGCAGGGGTGTGCCTGCCTGTGGTGAGCAAGAGCTAG